GCAGTTGCTGCTCTCAGCATTCCACTGCCCCAAGGATATATGCTGAGCTTTGCAGAAGCTCCTCCATCATCTGGGCTCTAATGGGAAAGGCTCAGCCTGGTCCTGAGCTGCTGCCTCCTCACTGCCACCCCTCACACTCCTGTCATGTCTGCAGGACCTCTCTCCACATTCCACTTACCCAATGCAGAAGAAAATGACAAATATAGGAGCAGATCCTGCAATCTCCAGTAGCCTCCAGTTGCGGATCCCATAACTCAATCCAGCTAAAATCATCTGTCCAATGGCAAAACAGCAGTGAGAAGTAAGCACTGCCTTTGGGCGTGAGGAGACACCGATCCATTCTGTAGCTGAAGAGAAGAACAAAGGCTCAGAGTCATCCATGTAAATGATTTCCCCTGATGCAAACGGTGTTCCCCCTGGAGAACAGCTCTCCTGAAGGCAAGCAGAAGAGACCAGCCATTGGAACCCTGGCATCAGTCACACGTGCAAGTCACCAGTGTTTCATGAGATGCATCATCTCTCCTTATTGTCAGTGTGTCTGCAAGAAGACATGAAGCTCAGGCATGTCAACTCTTTGCTCTCAGAGTCCACAGAGCCCCTCACTGGTCCAGTGCTGGGGCCCAAATCGATCATGTCCCAGAGTCACTGGACCCTCTCCCTGCACTGGCCTCCTGAGCTGGCATGCTGTCCCCTCGCCCTCTGAGCACTGGCATGGGAGAGATGCTCCCCATGGCTCTCAGGGTGAGGAGATGCCAAAGTGCCAAAATACAGCGCAGAACAAGATCTGTCCTTGATGTGGGTTTTTTCTAGTCAAACTGATTCTTTTTATTTCTTCACAGATCTTTCCCATTGCATCTTGAGATGCCTCAGGGCAGGGATATCCTACTCACCTAAGGCCAGTATTGTCATGGTGATCCCTGACACTGAAGCCCCCACGACACACCTGAAGGCCATGTACACATAAAAATGAGGCACAAAAGCAATTCCTAGACCAAACAAGCCCTGGAGGAACATGGAGATCAGAATGACTGGCCGGCGGCCGATCCTGGAGAGAGAGAGGGGAGACACAGTCAGTACCTGGAGAGACTCCATGGAGATGGGGAGGAGCCCAGCAGGTTATACAGTGATTTTATCACCCCTGAGGCTGATAAGGCTCAGACTAGACTCTGGGTTGACAAATGAAGCACCCTGCACACACACTGTGTCTTTCTCCCTTCCCCTCCCTGTGTGGCCATGTCCTCATGGGACCCAAGGACTTTGGTCAGGATCCCTGTTAGTGAGGAGCAGTGGCAAAAGGCACAGAGTGCAGTGTCCAGCCAGACTCAGAGCAGTGTGCTGGCTTTGTACAGCCCTTGGGCAGGTTGTTGTGTCTCCCCACCTGTCACTCAGCGGCCCAAAGATCATGGATCCCAGGAACAGTCCCACCATGTAGATGGACTGGGCAATGTCGTTCAGATCCTTCCTGTCACACACCAGGTCAAACTGGAGAAAGGAGAAACAGATGATTTTGGATGCCCTCCACGGGCATGAATCTCCACAGTCTGGACAGGGCATACAAGTCAGAGGTGGCCTTAAGGGTGGGTTGTCACAACAAGCCACCTCTCTGAGCACTCTCTGGAGCATTAGGACCTGTACGAGTCCCCCCACCCAGTCTGGCACCCACAGGGAAGTCTCCTGGTTGATAAACTTTGCTTCTGGTGGGACTGGGGACAAAAGCAACTGCTTGCTTCCTCACAGACCACCTGTTCTCTCAGTAGAAAAAGGATTAGTGCAACGCTGATTCCTAGGACAAGCAGTTTCTGTTAAATAGATGTTCTGCAACTGCCAGCAACAAGAGGGCATTTATGGAAAGAGCCACATAAGGAAGATCATAGAATCATAGACTGGTTTGGGTTGGAAGGATCCTTCAAGATCATCTAGTTTCAACCCCTGCCATGGGCAGGGACACCTTCCTCTAAACCAGGTTGCTCAGAGACCCATCCAACTTGGTCTTGAATAGTTCCAGGGATGGAGCAGCCACAGCTTCTCTGGGCAACCTGTGCCAGTGCCTCATCACCTTCACTGTCAAGAATTTCTTCCTAATTTCTAATCTAAATCTAAACCCTTTCATCTAAACTTTTCTTCCTTAACTAGCAACTGTGATGCTGGGGTTGGACGGGGTGACTTTCAAAGGTTCCTTCCAAGTCAAACTGTTCTATGATTCTAAGTTGGAAGGTTACTCCCTGCATACTGCAGGTCAGGGTGACCCAGGAGGTCCCACCAGGAGTGATTAATCTCTCTACTGGCTCTACCCATGACCCTGCTGAGACCTGTATCACAGCCTGCTTGCCTGTAGCCTCTGCAGGACCATGCCTGGGGACTGGGTGGTGGAGCCAAGGTCCTCCAAAACACATCTGATGTAAATACTCAGCCCAGCCCAGCTACACCATGGTCAGGCACCAGCTTTGAATGAACTGCAGGACAGGGTGAACGTTTGGGTGCCCCTTCCCTTCCATGTCCCCAGCACATCAAAAGGTGGTTACAGACCTCGGTCAGCAGGGATGGTGGTTGTGCTGAGGGGTACACCCAGCCACTGCGGCACTTCTCGGTGCTGTTCAGGCCATATGCCATGATGGAGTCGAGGTCCCAGTCCACCGGTGAGTACATGAAGCACTGCTCGTACTCCCCATCCGCGTTCCGGGGCAGGGTGAGGTTCAGCTGCTCTTCCTCTGTCAGGTTGGGGCCAACAGCAAGGATCCAGCTGGTGTCACAGTGATGAGGCACTTGTGAGACCATAAAAAGTTGGCAGAACTGGTGGAAAGCCACGCTGAGGCAGGGGATCAAGGTGAACACCACCAGCCATTTCTGAAATGGTCCAAAATCACCAATTATTTTCAAAATTTCCCCGATGCCTGACATTGGCAGCTGTGTCTGAAACAGGACAGTGCTGGGACAGACTTCCCAGAGGGCTGGAATTAATGTTTAAACCTAAGATAAGCTCTGCAGTCACAAGCAACCACCACAAGTACACCATGTAATATATTAATCATCCCTGTCCCACCCACAAACATCCAGCGCTGGCTGAAGCAGGACCCCAGTTTCAGGGAATCTGGGTCACCCCCTCTGCCAGGGCTAGGTGGCATTGACAGAGGAACAGACTCTTCTCCACAGTGACTGCAAAGGCTGCATTTGCTGAGCGACTCAGCAAAGCAACGTTCAGAGGGGCCAAAAGAGCCCAGCATGATGCAGAGCAGTGAAAAGTCCAGAGGAATAAAGGGAGTGATGCTAATGGATAGGCAGAGACAGAAATGAAGGGCAGCCAGTTCACCATGGTCCCAGGTGACAGGAGTTCCCACTTGTTTCATCTTTTGCAGCTTGCTATAGCAACTACAAGCAAGCTAGGCATGGGATGTCCACCCTTCCCACAAGTTCTGGGCCACCCTGCAAGCTAGTGGGGGCTGTATGCAGGGAAGACCTGAGCAAGGCATACAGAGATGGGGGAAATCACCAAAGGTGCCCAAGAGCACCTTGGATGTTCCTTCTCCTACCCACAGGTCCATGGGAAGAGCATTGTATACGTATGATGGAAACTAGACCATGGCTGCCCCATTTGCGTTGACCAGAGCACCTGCATCCTGGCATCTCCCCTGACTGGCTCCTAGCTCCATGCTAGGAGTCTGGGGTATAAAGCAGCCTCATCCACTCTTCTCTCCCATGGTTTCAGTGGGGCAGCCTGGGAGGGTCAGTCAGATACCAGTCATGGGTCTTGTGGACCTGGAGTATCAGGAGCCAGAGGATTGGCATGAGAACCTGAGCCATCAGGTTTACAGGAGGCTAG